TACTTCAAGAAACATATGATGTGGGAAAGAAGTGTTTTCCCCTAAAATTGGGAAATGTAACAGAATTACAAGAAACAGTCTCTCTTATTTGAGAAATATTTATTGAACTCAAGTTTCTGAGCTAGATTTGCTGGGAGATTCAAAGCTGGATGCTGCCTAACAACCCAACCACTAACATTTATAGCATATCCATATATGTGAACGTGACATATTTTAGTTTTGTTTGTTTGTTTGTTGTTTTTTTGTTGTTGTTGTTTTTGTTATAACAGTGCTTTACTTTGGGTACCACTTTTGTATCAGTATAGATTAGGCTTTGTTTGCTACCAAACACCTCAGTGACTTAGAATAGCAAAGATGTATTTCTCATTCATATATGTTAGCCAAAGGCTCTTTTCTGCTTTGTCCTGACTCTATGACCCTACCTGATAGAAACAGCCACTATCTGAGACAATGTTGTTACTGTAGACTAAACAGGGCCACAAATTCTGTCAGTTTTCTCCCCAATTCTCATCAAAAGGTGGAGTTTATGCCCCTTCTCCTGAAACTGAGCTGCTCTGTGACTACTTTAACCAATAGAATGTGTTATTTCCCTGCCCAAGACCTACAAAAACTGAGAAGTTTTTGCTCTTGCATTTTTGAGAGTCCTAAGCCACATGTAAGAAGCCAGGCTACTCTGCTGGAGAAGCCAATGTGAAGTGAGGCCTGGAATAGCACTTGGCCATTCTAGCATCCCTGTTCTCCAGCCCCAGACAATTCCTGGCTGGAACTACATGAGAGACCCCAAACAAAATTAGGCAATTGTCCATGAACCCATTCAACTTGGGTTTTGTATACCATCAGAGATAATAAAACAGTTACTGGTGGGCTTTTGTTTTTTATTAATCCTCATGAGGATATTTTCCCTATCGATTTTCAGAGTGGAAGAGAGGGAGAGAGATATAGTGAAGGAAACATCGATGTGACAGATATACATCAATTGGTTGCCTGCCCCAACCTGGGCCAGGGATCGAGCCTGTAATCGAGTATATGCCTGTGACTGGAATCAAACCCGAGACTCTTCAGTCTGCAGGCCCATACTCTATCCATTGAGTCAAACCAGCTAGGACAAATAGTTATTGTTTTAAGTTATTAAATTAGGGTTGGTTTGTTATACAGCAATAGATAACTAAAATATTACATCACTGTGTCAAAGGAAAGAGACCTTGTGAGAAATTGTACACATGTTCTTAAAGCTTTTGCTCGGAAAGGACAAAGATCACTTCTACTTCATTGGCCATGCTGAGTTCAAAGGAGGAGGAAAGTGCAAGTCCAGGGAGACATGCACATGAGGAGGAAAAGGAGAGTGGAAGAGTCAGAAAAGAAATGGGGCAAAAGGAGCCATTTTAGGACCAAAAGGAGGGTTTCAAGAACAGAATATTCAAGAAGAGCATAAAATAAAAGGCCAAAATTGGTATGGGCAAGGTATTCATAGAAATACGAAGAAAGAGATCAATGTGGGCTGGTATAGTCAGACATGGGACAAGGTAGTATCAGAGAAGGAACTGGGAGGTAGCAGAATTTGGATGGTTGGAGAAAGAAGGGTACTCTCAATGAGGAAATAGCATGAGTAAATTCTTGGGATGGGGAATGAATTTAGCAATGCAGGGGGGGTTGGGGGGAGGTAGTGGTATAAGATTAGGTATTGTAAAGGGAAATATATCCCTGCAATAAAGGGTGTGTCAGGCGTAACAGGAAAAGTGGATTATGTTTACTGTGGAAGGGGAGAGCAGAGAAGCTGTTTGTGGTTTTAATGGAGGCCCTTGAGTGACAACTGAGATTTCTGAGTTCTTTCGTTTAAATAGTTAAGTATCACTGAAGAAAGGTGCCTGAGTAAAGGAAATCAGCATACAAGACTAGTTCTTTCATGTGGGAATTAAGAAGGGGAAGACAGAGTAGGCCACTGGTTGGACAATTATTGCAGTAGTCAAAGCAGGACTATCCTATTGGGAGAGATCATTACCTAGGGGAGAAAAAGGAAAGTCTCTCCCAGACTAGATCAGGAGGCTTAGAATGCGAATAAGTTACTCAGAGACTAAAAAAATAAAAAAGGAAAGGCTTCAAGTGTGGAGAAGCTGAGACAATTATCAAGGGTATAAAAGAAAACATCTAATTTTCTTTTTCTTTTTTTTAATCTTCACCTGAGAATATTTTTCCCATTGATTTTCTGAGGTGGGAGAAGGAGGAGGAAAGGGAGGGGAAAATGGAGAGGAGAGAGGGATAAATGGGTGGGAGGAAGAGGGGAGCCAGGAGAGGGGAGGGGGGGAGGAGAAGGGGATCATTAATTGATTGACTCCCTCATATGCCCCCAATCTGAACAGGAGATGGAGCTGAAACCCAAGCATGGTTGCCCTTAATGGGGAATCAAACCCAAGGCCTTTTGGTGCTCTAACCACTGAGGACACCAGCCAGGATATAAACATTTCATTTTTTACCTCCTATGGCAGATATTTGTTACCTATCCAATATTCCCCACCCTACTTACTTCAATGTAACAATGCTGCTTAATTCCTCTCTTCCCTCCAAACCAATCAAGGAAAAGAAACCTAAAAGCTCCTAATTCAGCTCCAAAGTAAATCCTGTTTGGTTTCTAAGCCTGTGGTTCTCAACCAGTACCATCTCTATGGGGAGTGTGTGTGGGGTGAAGGGGAAGTAGGGTTTTTTGTTTTTGTTTTCTGGTGTCACAATACCTCCGGTACATTACTGGCATTTAGTGGGAAGAGACCAATGATGCTAAAGGTCCAGCTTCCTGCGTAAGAACTGCCAAAAACCAGGTAAACACTAACCAATCATGGCAGTCCCATGCTCTTTGTCAGTTACCGCTTCAGGGACTAGCTAGCGACTCAGTTCTTGTGAGTTATAAGGAGTGGCCTGCTATAAACGGTGGAGTGGTTTCTTCCTGCCGGGTGATACTGTCCTACTGTATGACACTCAGGACTACTACAGCCATTTCTTCCCCCAAAGCAGCTACTTCCCAATCTCCCTATTCTCATCACTGGCCTCTCCACTTCCTTTTACCAAGTTCTGAGTCAGTTCTGACCTCTTAACCTTAATCCTAGGATGACCACTCATTCAGATTTGCTTGAGATAATGTGATTTTACTTCTGTTCTCCCAGAAGTAAATTAATGCTGCCCTCTTTCACGTCCAAAAATGTTACAGATTGGACCAGTTTAGATTCTAGGGTCACTTACTTATTTCCCAATTAAATCCTGTTCACTCTGCCTCCAGAAAATATCTCTAAAACAGGGATCAGCAAACTATGGCCTATGGGCTCTTTTTACTTTTATACTTCCAAGGAAGGAAAAAAAATACGGGGGTTGGGGGGGGGGGTGTTTACATTTTTAAATGATTGAAAAAAGCCAATAGAATATTCCATGATACCCCATATTATATTGAATTAAAATTTCAGTATCCACAAAGTTGTGCTGGACCCCCACCATGCAGATTCCGTTTTCAATATATACACACTCTCAATATTCCTGTTGGGCCCTTTATAGAGAAGGTGGCAGACCCCTGCTCTCTTGCCACCATGGGTTCTGATTTTTCTTACTTGTTACTGGGTTCCCACTCTTCCCCCAACTCCGCTCCTTCACACACCCATGCATCCCTCTAGGGAAGTCTTGATCCTGTCGTTTGCCCTTTCATTATCTTCAGTGTCTCCTCCAAAACGCAGTAGGAGGTCAAGCCTGGTTTTCCCAGACTTTGCTCCTCTTCTCTTCTTAAAACCAGGATGAACAACCTGCTGTTTCTCTCACTCCTGCCTCACGGCCCGGCTGCTGGCCCAGGCCCCTCCCGCATCCCCTGGGTCCCTCAGGTTCGAGGAGAACTGCGGCTCCTCCCTCCATGCACACTTAGGTGTGGGGTGTGAGGTGTGGGGTGTGGGGTGTGGGGTGTGGGTGGGTGACGGCGACACAAAGGAAATTGACCAGGACCGGGGAGACAGACAGCACGCCCGCCGGGCTGAGTGCGCCAGAGCCGAGGGGGCTGGTCATGAGGCTTCAGAGGTGACATTTGAGGCCGTGGAACTGTAAGGACTCGAGAGACTAAAACTCGACAAGGGCCACTTCATCCTACGCACGTGTCACTTCGGGAATAACGACACCTTTAGTCTAAAACCTGAGAGGAAATCCCACAACAGCACCCCGGACCCAAACCACCAGGGAGCGAGCGGCTGCGCGGGCCAGTGCGGAGCGCCCGTGGGTTCCGGGCGCCACACCGCCCGGGTGCGGGCTCCGCGCCCTCTCCGCGCCCGGGAGACAGGCCGGCGCGCCGCCCAGAGCTCCGGGGCGGCAGCTGTCTGCGAGCCCGCTTCCCGGCCTCCGGGCGGGCGGGCGGGCGCGGCAGCGCCTGGGGAGGGAGCGGCCCTCACCAGTGTGTGCCAGCAGTTACAACGGTCGCGACCTCCCACAAACCACCTCCGAAAGGCGCCCCCCCGGCCGGGCCCCACCTCCGCGGCCGCTTCGGAGCACGTGAAGCGGGCGGAGCGGCGGGGAACAGGCGGGCACTCGCGGACGCCCGCTCGGGCGGGGGAAGGAAGCGTTTCCCGGGCGCACGCGCACCAAGAGAACTGGGCGGGGCGTTCCCTCTCGGAGGGCGAGCGGAGGAATGGGAAGCGCGTGGCGCTCCGGCACCTGCGCACGCACCGCGGCCTCGCCCCGCCCATGCGCGCGCGCGCGGCCCGCGCTACCTATGTGCTCCGGTCCGACCCCGCCTCCTCTACTTCAGAGAGCCGGGAAGTGTGGGGCGAGGTGGGCGGGGCGTTGCACGCGAGCGCGGCCAGCAAAAAAGGGGCGGGGAAGGAAGATCCTTAGACAACGTTACCCCGTCAACAGCCAATCGGGACCCGGAGTTGCCCCGCCCCCTGCCCTACGTTATTGGCTGGGAGGCCGGGTGGGCGGGGCGTACCGGGGTTGGGGGAGGGCAAGGGGGCGGGGACTTAGGAGGCAGGCGCTGGCGGGCAGTGATGGCGGCGGGTGATGGGGACGTGAAGCTAGGCACCCTGGGGAGTGGCAGCGAGAGCGGCAGCGAAGGCGGCGGCGGGAGCCCGGGCGGCGCGGGAGTGGCGGCAGAAGGGGGCGGCTGGGCGGCAGCGGCGTTGGCGCTGCTGACGGGGGGCGGGGAGATGCTGCTGAACGTGGCGCTGGTGGCGCTGGTGCTGCTGGGGGCCTACCGGCTGTGGGTGCGCTGGGGGCGCCGGGGTCTGGGCGCCGGGGCCGGGGCGGGCGAGGAGAGCCCCGCAGCCGCCCTGCCGCGCATGAAGAAGCGCGACTTCAGCTTGGAGCAGCTGCGCCAGTTCGACGGGTCCCGCACCCCGCGCATCCTGCTCGCGGTCAATGGGAAAGTCTTCGATGTGACCAAAGGCAGCAAGTTCTACGGTCCCGGTAAGGAGGAGCTGGGAGGGCAGGGGAGGACCCCCCCGGGCGCCGGGTGAGCTGGCCCAGCCCGGACCCAGCCTCCTCCGAGCCTGGACCTCCGCGCCTTCGCCGCCGCACCTGGGACGGCCCGCCCCGCGCACACCCCCGGCCGCGGGCTCCGCCAGCTGGTCCCCTGAAGTCGGGGGCCCAGGAAGCGGCTCTCAGCTTTCATCGTGTAATCCCATCTCTTTTCTACTGGCCGCCTTTTCTTGGGCTGAATTTCTTTCAAAATCCTCTTGGTTGTCGCCAATCACGCCTGACCCTTCAAAGCTTTGCGGAGCTCTCTGACTCCAGGGATGGGTGAGGGCAGCAGGCAGGGGCGATTTCTGAAGGGGGGGGACCTGAAATTCTAGGCCCTGAAGTTCACAGCTTTTCTCTCTCTCTCTCTCTCCTCTTTGCCACTGATCTCCCTTTCCCCACTACTACTCTCCGTAAGGCCACGTTTTAGTACACGTAGCTCCAAGCCCCAGCCCTGTAGTCTGTGAAATCTGGGCATATCAGCAACACCTCAGACTTTTTAAAAACAAACAAATAGTTTTTGTATGGAGATGCTTTCCAAGATTAACAATGTACTGTGTGGGCTGAGGGCAGACCAGAATGAAGATCTTAAGTTAAGACTAGCAAGGGTATTCGCCCAGAGTTTTGGGGGTGGGGCTCAAACACCCAGCAGGCATGTCAGTCTGATCTGTTCTCTCCCTCTTCTTTCTCTCTCTCTCTCTCTCTCTCTCTCTCTCTCTCTCTCTCTCTCTCTCTCTCTCTCTCCCTCTCTCTCCTCTCTCTCTCCCCTCTCCTCTTCCCCTCTCTCCCTTCTCTTTTTCTTTCTTTTTTTTGTAGCACGAAAGCAAGTATTCAAATACACGTGATAATGACTTATTGTGTTTTCACAGAGGAGAAAAAAAAACATTAAAAAGCTATAAATTCATTATCCCTCATGCACCAGTTCTGCAAGTTGAACTTTGCTTTCAGAGAACCGTGTGTGTGGGATAGTTGGTGTAGAAACCCTTCTTTTACTATGTGGTTATAGCTTACACTTAAGATTATGCCAGTAAGCTTCAGTTGGATCCTGCTAGTGTACCATGAAATTGAGCAACTTTGTACATCCTGGCTGTGTAGTAATTAATTCTAAACTCCATGAAAAGTGACAATAAAAGTGTAGTAATGAAATTAGAGACCTAGTGAGTTCAAAAAGAGTACGTCAAGCCTTGAAGTCAAGGAGGTTGGCAAGTCTTAAAAACTAATTGGTTTCCTATTTGACTCAGTCTGTTGGTGCATGAGATTTATTGACACCTGCTAATATATACTTATGATTTCAGTGCTTTGTGGCTGGAAAAGAAGTGTTTTGGTGTGTTGTTTGTTAATTAGAATAGAGATAAGAAATGGGAGATTTTATGTATCAAACTATTTCTTAGTTGCTTGGATTTTTGTGTATATGTCTACATTCAGCCATACTAAGTCCCAGATAGCTTGTCAAGTATTTGCTTCTACTTATATGAATAAGAAAAACAGCTGAAATGGTTAGTACTTTTTGTTATTTACTTAAGAGCATGTGAGACAAGAAAATAGGGCCAAAGTACAGTATTTAGATGCACAGACCAAATTAGTCCTTTTTTTTTTTTTGTCAAGATTTACACCGTATTTGTATCTAAAGTTTTTCCCCCATTGATATTAAAATGTGAGTTCAGTGGTTAGAAATTGCGTTCAGGTTTAGACTTATAATATGGAGCTTACCAAACTAAAAGATCTGCCTTTTTAGCCCTTGTCTAAATTGACAGTGAAGCAACCAAAGTTTTAATGCAAATAAGCATATTTGTCCTCACACATTATGCCTTGCCACCATCTGAAAATAGCTAAGAGGGACAGTCATAGACACAGTTTGGCAGCCTCCAGCAGCAAATGTTCTGCAACAGAAATTAAAAATTAAGATAAGAGTCATAGGTGTAATGTAGATAGCCTTCTTGTGGCTTGAGCACTGAGGGGACTCCTCAGATAACAGCCTAGAAAGTCAGTTTTATGTTAGCTTCCACCAATTCCCAGCTTAAGAATTATAGAGAATTATTTTATTCTAGGTATTTATTTATCAACAACATAATAAAGACATTAGGAATATTTTATTATTAAAAGGAACCTTAAAGAGCTGGCTCATCTTATGGGCTTGGAATATGTAAAAGATATAGCACTTTGCAAAAATTTTATAGCCAGATTTCTATATATCATAAATAAGTTCTGTTTTGGTTTAAGTTTTTATTTTCATCCTCAAATCAATTAAGCAGTTTTATAGCTGAATAATTCAGAAGCAGTAATCCTTATCTGAGAATCTTAATAGCTTAAAAGAATGAACGAAGGGTGCCAGAAAGCCTAGTTTTTATGCCATACCTAGGCAATACCTACTTCCATTTTATAATAATGGTTTTAGAGTTAAAGAATATTTTCTTTTTTCTATGTTGAGTATACATTTTTGGTCATTTTTAAAGTTCGGATTCTTTTAAAAAAATAAATAGTGACAATTTAGTGGATCGCTCATGTTGGCAAACAGGTGGCATTAACTATATTTGTCAATATTAAATTTAGTAACGGTTCAAGCACTTGGCCAGCATGTGAAGAAAGTGGTCATGTGAGAAAATGAAATGTGGGAGGAGAAAGAAAACCAGATTTATTAAGCACCTACTATATCGGATCCATTAATTTGTTATCTGCACAATGCCTCAGAGAGGTTAGTAGGTGTTCCTGTCCTTCAGGAGTCTGAGGTTTCAATATTTTGGTTAAATTTGCTAGGCTCACACAGACATGGCATTGAAATACAGACATATTTCACCTCCAAGGCTATCTACACTATTTCAGGTAAACTGGTTTTGGGGATAAACTTGTTGAGAATCTATCTTACTGCTCTTTTTTTATACCTTCTCCTAGTTCCCATAAGCATTTAAAGCCTCAAAGAAACACACTTTCATGGCTTTCCATTGTACTGTCCAATATGATAGCCACAAGCCACATGTTGCTCTTAAAAATTAATTAGATTAAGTGTAATTTTGAATTGAGTTCCTCTCACTAGCCACATTTCAGGTGCTCAGTAGCCACATGCATTGAACAGTGAAATCTATAGGGTATTTCCATCTCTGAAGATATTCTCATTTTACCAATGTGAAAATAAACGCCAAGAAGTTTTGCCCACATATTTAGTAAATGGCAAAGCTAGAGATCAAATCCAGTGAATTGGCTTCACAAGCCATCCTCTCCCATTGTATGACAACATAATTTCACAGGTTTCCAGAGTCAATAGATTAGGAAGATTCAAACAGATAGTATAATTTTAAATGATTTAATATTACTGCAATGGAACTCTACTAAAAACAATGTTTTTATTTAGTATGGCAAGAGATTTTACAATTTACCTTTCTAATTGTTTATCCCACATTTCTGAAATGTAGGTATATTGCTACTCCCTTATCCTACGTAGAGTATTTTGATATATACCAACTCTGTATTTTCCTCAATTTAACTTTTAAATTACATTGGGGGGTGGGAAATAAGTCATTCATAAGAAGTACCGAATGAGATGTCTAATATTTGGGAGTTGGAGAAAGAAACATGTGCCTTTTAAGTGGTTTTTGTGTTGTTTTTTTAGGTTTATCTTCAACATATTCACTTATAGTTTACAAAACTGCAATAGAAGCAAAAATTATAACATACAGACCAGGCCCAACCTGCCCTACTCCATCATGGATGTGTTAATTGACACCACCAGCTCACATCCCAGCTTCTTGCTTTGAAGCCAACTGGATCTGTTGTTAGGGCTTGAAGTCCATTCACATCCATTATCTACCTGTAAAATAAAAGGATCAGCTTAGTTTTCTGATGGATTTTAATAATCTTCTCAAATGTATACATAGTAGTTTTTTCTACAGTGCCTGCTAGATTGGCACCCTGAGTTCAACATTTGAGGGAATTGTATTTATGTTAAATAGTATCCTATCTAATAAAGAGGGAATATGCTAATTGACCATCACTCCATCACAAAGGTGGATGCATCCAGAGCTGAAGCCAAGTTCCCATAAGGAACCTTAATGAGCAATCAGCAGGGACCTGAGGCTGCACCGTCCCCTACCCTCATGGGGCTTGACAGGGGAACTCAGGCTACACCTCCAGCCCCTAGGACAGGGGACCTGAGGCTACATCCCCTGCCTGGAGGGGCTTGTCAAGGATGGGACTGGCCAGGTCTGGATCAGTGGGGGTAGGGGTCGGCCAGATTTGGTCTCATGCAGTTTTGAGGCACATGTGGGTGGGAGGGGACTTGACTCTCTGACAGGAGAAAGGTTTTCGTATACATTTTACCAATTTTCTTTTATCTCTGACACTTCTATTATAGAGAAAGGGCAAGTAGCAATATTAAACTATTTTCTCTAATTATTCTTCTTTTAATTAGAGGAAATAATTGACAATTCGGGGTGGGGGGGAGTATGGGGAGTGCAGGAAGAGACTGGACAAAAATTGTACACCTATGAATGAGGACAGTGTGGGGGTGGGGGGTAAGGGCAGAGGGTGAGGTGGGAACTGAGTGGAGGGGAGCTATGGGAGGAAAAAGAGAGGAACAAGTGTAATAATCTGAACAATAAAGATTTATTTAGAAAGAAAAAATATAAAAAATAATAATGTACATGAATTTCATGCACCAGGCCACTAGTCTACATAATAAAAGAGTAACATGCTAATTGACCACACATTTGTGACACCCACCAGCCAATCAGGGATGAGTATGCAAATTAACCCAACAAAGATGGCATGTTAATTTGCATATGCAGGCTGAGGGGGCACTTGTGCAATTGCCATGGCGATGACATAGGCATTCCGCATCACCCCAGCCACTCAGGGGCTCTGAGACTCTGGATTGTGTATAGGCAAAAAGGCGTCTCTGGCCAGAGCAAAGGCCCATTCTTGCACAAATCTTTATTCGTGCATCGGGCCTCTAGTTG